TGTGTTTGGATGAGAAGTATAAATATATACCATTCTGACACACTATTAGCTTGTACACAACCCATCACAGCTGCAAATAACACAAATTATGTCACACTCCAGCAGAACATAGCAGATATACTGTATGCTAACAGGTGTAGTGCATCCTAATTTTTACAACATTAACATTTTTATATGACAATATAGTCATTTTGACCTTCAGAAAAACGTTTTTCGAGGGTCTCACCTCCCAATAAATGTCATTTTGGAAAGTCTAGCCACTCATTTTTACTCAGTACTTTTACTTTTAATACTTAAGTACATTTTATGTCAGAAATTTACTTTTGATACTTAACTACAAAATAAATCAGATACTTTAAGACGTTTACTCAAGTAATATTGTTAGAGGAGACTTGAACTTTTACCGAAGTAAATTTATGGTAAGATACTTGTACTTTTACTCAAGTATCACTTTGAGGTACTTTATACAGCCCTGCAGGAGGGTTAAATTCTGAACGATTGTATCTAATAAAACATCTGCTTGTGCTGCTGACTGATGACCTACARTCTGAACATATTATTGTTCTTAATGATTTTATTTCTTATACCCACTGAACTGTTAATATTACTGACAATCATCAGTAATTTGTTTCCTTTGTGCCGTCTGAAATTCTGCTCTGATCAGTGCAGTTCCTCTTTTCAGCACAGACATTTTGATGCATCTGTTTATATCTGAACATTATTGTAGTTGTTCATGCTGTATATTACTGTAAGAATTAAAACTGAATCATTTCTCCTTATTTTATCCCATGAGTGTTAACTCTACTGCTGCCTCTGGTTTTATTCATGCTGGTAGAGCTGATAATGAAACTATTGGACYAATTGTTTCTTTGCTTTTTTTGTACTTCTGTCTTATTAGTCACCACCCAAAACTTTTTATTTTCTCTTTCTCCCATCATGGTTTGATTCTGTCTAATGTTGGATGATTTGCTTTATTTCATTGCAAATTAACCCAATAATTTATTGTCAGKTGTGTTCTTCTTAATTCACAGACAATCAGTACATGACACTATTATTGTGTCAAATCACAATTTAGACATTTCTCAGAGAATTTTCTTGAACATAAATCTSATGCAGTGATTGGTCCATGCTGGGGATTTTCTAACGACGTCAACCAGGAACAGCTTTGTTCAAGTGTTGTAAATCAGCTGAGTATCATATGTCTGTGGTGTTTTCATAGGTATATAAATATAGATTTATATGTCTGTGGTGTTTTCATAGGTATATAAATATAGATTTATATGTCTGTGGTGTTTTCATAGGTATATAAATATAGATTTATATGTCTGTGGTGTTTTCATAGATATATAAATATACATTTATTTGTCTGTGGTGTTATCATAGATATATAAATATAGATTTATATGTCTGTGGTGTTATCATAGATATATAAATATAGATTTATATGTCTGTGGTGTTATCATAGATATATAAATATAGATTTATGTCTGTGGTGTTATCATAGATATATAAATATAGATTT